CGCGTTGCCAACAACATTTACATTCGCATTCATGAGCCCAGGGGGTTTGGTTGCCCCACGCCAAACCCATCCCCTCCCCTCCCCCACCCAGCCAACCACACTCTAGATTTGTCTGAATTGTATTTTGATATCCGTAAAATAGCCTGGAGTAGTTTTAGTTCCTAGCATTCGGGGGTTACTTTTATTTTATGCCCGCAATACGTTCGCAATGAAAACCATTTTATTTGCCCGAAAAGTCAACCACCAAATAAATAGTCGTCAAATGGAGCGACTCACTAATGGAGTAATTTCACTAAGAGTTTTCGAAGAAAGTGCAGTCATTTCAAATATATATCACTATTTAAACTTTAGCTAAAAATCATACATAAATAAATCATTGAAAAATCTAAAAAAAGATAATTGGAACATTTTGAAAATATGTTGAAATGAAAATGAATACAAATGGGTTTTAAAATTGCGTGTGTCTGGAATTAAGAAATGCAATTATAAATCATCTAAAATATAAGTTTTCAATGTTAAAATATGGAAATTCTTCGAAACCAATTTAGTGATGAGCAAGACCAAAGAAAAACTTATATAAATTAGAATAAATATGCCTCCATTCCATACCCATAAATCAGGCAATTTTGGCCACTTTTTGGCAATTGCCCGTTAATTTATTCCCGCGGGATTATATCATCGCTGCGATCCGGCAATATGCTAATCAATTTGAGCGATTTTTAATTGAGCTACATCGGCAGCGGGGAAAAGTCATCAACTAAGTAAAACTTATAACTAAATCCATCGTCGTGATCATCATCATTTCGAACGTTTCTGTCGTCGCCTGTCACTTGTGGGTGTTGCAAACAATTTAATTAAAAAGCGCAATAAAAAAACATAAAAAAAAGACGGCGAAGAGGGAGAAAATCGTTGCCGACTGAGTGCAATTAAAAATTAAATATTTAATTAAATGCATAAAAGTCGCGACGACTTTGAGGGCCATTCAGGCGGCGGGGGCGTGGCAGCAGAACTTTGCGAAAATTGCAAAATGGTTTAATTAAGCGAAGCAGAAAGTCTCGAATGGCTGACAATAAGAGTGTCATTATAATTGTTGACAGGCACAATGAAGGAAAGTGCAAATCATCGCCAGGACCTCGTCGAGGACCTCCCCGCAAATGGGCCACGCCCAAAATGAAGTTGGAAAATTGCCGAGGGAGACGGGAACCAGAACACGAAAGGAGAAACAGAGCGCAGACGACTTCGTGCAGTGCGTGCATTGAATTAATGAAATCGTAAATAAAGTCGTGCTCGAATCCGAAGAACTTACAGGGAAAATCCAGAAGGAACTAAAGGGAAATCGGTCACAGAATTAATACAAAATCTATTAATTGGCGGTGTTTATAATTCCAGTTTTGTACTATTATGTTTATTGTTATAACCAAAACACTGATAAATAATTCAAACTTTTTGGTGAAAAATCGAAATAAGAAGATTTTTTTGAAAATTTTACAAATAAAGGGTTCACATTTTTCGTGATGATATTTCTCGAAAATTTTACAAAAAAAGCTGTGAATGCAGTTCGATTCAAAATTTTATTACGAGTTCAAAAAGGTATGCCATTCCATTATTGGATAATTATTGGCGTTGTTATCGTAAAAATACTGATATTTTTAAGCGAAAAATGGTTAAAAACACAATTTTCCACATTTTTCATGAGGTTTTCATCATGATATTTCTCGAAAATTTTACAAAAAAAGCTGTGAATGCAGTTCGATTCAAAATTTTATTACGAGTTCAAAAAGGTATGCCATTCCATTATTGGACAATTATTGGCGTTGTTATCGTAAAAATACTGATATTTTAAAGCGAAAAATGGTTAAAAACGCAATTTTCCACATTTCACATTTTTCCTGAGGTTTTCATCATGATATTTCTTGAAAATTTTACAAAAAAAGCTGTGAATGCAGTTAGATTCAAAATTTTATTACGAGTTCAAAAAGGTATGCCATTCCATTATTGGACAACTATTGGCGTTGTTATCGTAAAAATACTGATATTTTAAAGCGAAAAATGGTTAAAAACGCAATTTTCCACATTTCACATTTTTCCTGAGGTTTTCATCATGATATTTCTTGAAAATTTTACAAAAAAAACTGTGAATGCAGTTCGATTCAAAATTTTGTTACGGGTTCAACAAGGTATGTCATTCCATAATTGGACCATTATTTGCATTGCTATACTAAAAGTACTGATAATTTTGGGCTAAAAATCACATTTTTTACTTTTCACATTTTTTATAATTTTGGGTAAATTTGTTGTTAGTTATATTCTATGTAAAATTAAAGCCATTTAAGGGAATGGAAGTCCCAAATCTCATAGCCAATCTTCACTGTCTCTACACACATGTATCGACTTGATGTGAGGCAATCAGAGCCACTCAAAAAAGGCAACAATGCCGAGAGGTAACCACCCACAAGTGAAAAGCGGGGGGAAAAACGCGGCGGGAAAATGCGTGGCAGACCACCCTTTGCGAGAGAAAGAGACACGAAGAGCCGATGGGACAGAGACAGAGAGGCCGAGTGCAGAAAGCTGATTCGCCCATACAAATCTCAGCGAAAGAGAAGGAAATTCCCCAGTTTCCCTGGAGCGGGGGGCTAACTGGTGGGGGGAAAAGGGGGCAGGGGCATCCCCCTGCAATCAGTCAGTCTTATCAGTTTGCCCAGCTGACGAGGTCCACCGCAACTCGATGGCCATGAGGAGTCAGGAAGTTGCTTGGCCTTGCCTGCGACTTTGGGCACACCCCCGCCAACCCCCGAACCCACCCACTCCGCCTAACAACCACCCATTGAAACCCAGAACCCCCTCCCCCACACCTCCGCCTAATGTGTTGCATTTGTCCTGCAGCAGGGTCGTGAGTCCCGAGTCTCTGCTCGCCAGTCACTGCAAGAAACCAGAATTGGCCAACTGACTTCGACCTCAGGGCTAGAAATGTAAGCTCTAATTTCTTGGGACACTGCAAACTATTTAAGAATTCTTAAGAAAAATACCTTTTAAAATCATAGAATGGTTTTCGAGCTGGAAAAAAAATATATTTCTCAGTTAAATGACGAAATCTGTACATAAAATAAGAAACTTATTTGGAAAATCGTAAGATCTATTGTTCTCAATTAATCTACAAAATTCATACATAAAATAATATACATTTCTCGAAAATTCTAGGATCCATTTGTTTATTTCCTAAATATTTAAAGAAAGTGGAAATACAGAGCCTTAAAATAAAATAAAACATTTTTATTATCAAGCCATCGTATTAGGTTTGTTTGTAGACTTTTGTTTGGAATCACTTTATTGTATTGTAAAATATATCTATTTTATTCTCTCCTCATTTGATTGGCTTCTGAATTTTGGAGTTTTCCCGCTGTGCAGAGAGTTTCCCGCGGCCAGGCGACTTGTGCTGGGCACACTTCCATTTCCACTTATACATCATCCACCTCCATCGACAGTCCGTAGTATTTCGACTTTTCAGCTTTTCAGGGGCTGGCGTTTTTCGGCTGCCTGGGCGTTTTGTTTGCATAAGGCGCCCAGGAGCGGCACGCGGGAAGGGGCGGGTGCGAATCGGGGGGTGTGGTTCAATTAGCCGGCCTCTCAGCTGCAGCCCAAAAACATAAATGCAACAGCTCGAGCCGCAGCTTCCAGCTGTGGGAGTTGCGAGTGGCACGGGTGACTCTCAGCTCAGTCCCCGAAATCACGATTGAGTGGGCCAATATGGGGCATACCTGCTCACAATCTTTATTCAGAATATTTTCTTAAAAGTCTCATAAAGTGAAATATATAAGTGAGTCTGGTTTAATTTGAAAAAACCTATTATTAATATATTTTATTGTGAATACTAATTTGGAAGGCTGCATTTAGAGTTTGAAGTTTATTTCTTTCCTTAAAAAGAGTTGTAATTTTGTTCTTTTCGATATTAGTTTCCTAAAAAAATTTATAAAATTTAAAAAATTATCTGTAAATCGATTTATGTTGGTCAAGCTAAGACCACTTAAAGTAGTCTACTTTTGGGAGCAAAGCTTGTGGGGAAATTAGCATGTTTTGGGCCTTTCCTTTCATAAAGCCAGTCCAGTTTTAATACTTTCCAAATAGCTGACCAAATTTCCTTTCTTTTAATTCGGTTGTTTTCGGGGTAAAAACACTGCCACACCCCCTTTGACTCCCTTTCGCTTAAATCCCCCGATAACTGGGACCGATAAGCCCGAAAAGTCGAAATGGAAAACAATTTGTCATTTTGGGTTGATTTCTATTTTTTCCGTTATATTATATTTGGTATGCAGGGGTACCCCTTTTTTATACATTCTTTCTTTTCTATACCATTTTTGTATACCCTTTTTTATACTCTTTTTTTGATGTATAGTTTTTATTTTTATTTTTCTTTTGTTTTAGTCAGTTCTTGGAAAACAAAAGTCGCGAACATTTAATTGAACATAGTTGCCAGCATTTGTTTGTAGTTTTTCACGCCGGCACGCGATGAAAGAGAGGGCCGCAGGAAGGGCGAAAGAGATGGCAGCAGGCACGTGTCCGCTCAGTGTGTGTGTGTAGGCCATCCCGCTCGCACAGCGGCCATCGCTCTAATTATAGGTTAGGCCCGGCCGATCTGCGATTGGCTAAGCCGGCCATATAGAGGGGGCCGAGCCATAGGAACTGGTTTCTCGGCGCTCGGGGTTTTTATGAATGAAACTGGTGGAAAAAGGTGGTGGTGTTGGGATTGGAATTGGAATTGGAATCGGAACCACCATCTCTATATGTATCTTTACCCCATGGTGGTGGTTTCACTCGAAAGAGAGCTGTTGTCTGTACGACCGTCTCGTTCGCACCGCTTGCCAGCTGCGATGGCTGAACCCCAAATGGATACCATCCTGCTCGCACCTCTGCTGCTGCGACGCCGGCAGTGACGGCGACAGAAGCAGCGGCGGCGGCAGCGGCGACATTTAGCCAAGCTTTTTGTTCGCGTGAAACAGTTGCAAGCCTTTGAACGATCAGCGACGACGGCGTTACTTTTGGCGCGGATCAAGCAGCGACACTTTTTTTTCGTTGGCAGGCGCCTCCTGTCACCAAACAAACAAACAACCAACCAACCAACCAACCAAACAACTAAACAAACAAACAAGCAACAAACAAACCATAAACAAACATAAACAAGCCAACAAGCAGACAAGCTTAACAAACAACTGTGCATTTTTGGTTCGAGTTTCCTTTAATTTGATCGCTTACATTTCTTTTTTTGCCTGTGTTCCTTACAAAAAATCAATATATATATAGAAAAAATATTGCTAAAAAGAGATATATATATATAATATAAGCACAAACCCAGTGACAATAAGAGCAGTCAAACATTGAAATTGTAACAATCAGCAAACATCAGCAAACAACAGCAAACAAATCAGCCGACGGCCGAGTGAGAAAAGTGCAACGCCGACGGACTCGAAAAGATACAGATACGGATATCTGGGCGCTGGGCTAATCCTTTCGCGATTTTGCCCATTTTGCTTTTTTTCTGAGTGCGTGTGTGCTTGTGCTGTGCTGTGCTTGCCAATCCATATGTCCATGTCCTTAATGTCTTTTTCCCTTACCTCAAACCAGTGAGCCTGTTCTGCAACAATAGCCATAAAGAATACAATATAAACAAAACAAAATATCGAAACGATACGAAAACGAAAAACGAGACGAGACGAACCCAAATAAAAACCCGAAACAATTGTGAACCCAAGTGGCCGAGAAATAAAAGGCAGTCGCCACGAAAAAAAGACACCATCATTGTGCGCCTCAAATTGACAGCGGCAACTGCAGCAGCAACGACAACTGCAACTGCAACTGCAACTGCAGCAGCAACAACCGCAGCAGCAGCAGCAACATCCACGGCAAAGATGCTAACGGACATGACCCCGACCGCCGGTCAGCTCTACGGATCCCAGATCCCAACCATGGGCATGAACATCACCAACATCGCCACACACTTGCAGAAGCCACAAGTTAATCCGGTAAGCCGATCCCAAATCTCTCACCGAGATGTGTATCTCTCAGATAGGTCACTTCAGTCCAGATGCTCTTATCGAATCGCATCTCACTTGGCAATTATGCACACTTACCATCACTTGGGAAACAATTACTATTCATTTTGAATGAATCCATATCTTGATTATACAAGTTACTTTCTACTTACATTTTTTGTATAAAGATATACAAAAGCCTTTGAACGAATACGATAGAAGATACAATTATGCACACTTACCGTCAGCTAACAATAGCTATTCTTGTGATGAACTAATTTTCTTCATTAAGGCTAAAAATTTTACAAAATAAAATATGCAAGAGAATATGAAAAGTTAAAATAAATGATAGAATTGGCTTTAATTTTGTAAATATCTAATTTCTATATTGCTTTTGTTAAATAAAGTTTCAAAAGTAACTAAGTGATCAAGAACGAAGATACATTTTTATTCTTTGAAAACATTACTTATCTATATCAAGATCAACAAATTTAAGAAACTAAATGATAGCTTCTCTTAAATACAACTTTTAGTATAGAAGTGAAAGAATATCTGTTAGATGCTTTAAAGACAATACATGCAATTACTATCACATTAGAAACAATTGCCATTCAACTAATGCATTAAGTCAAGAAAACTGAAGAGTATACAAGTAAGATATTTCACTGATAAGAGTACGACAAAAGATACAATTATTCACACTTACTATCACTTTAGAAATAATTGCTAGTCATCTAATGACTACAATAAATATCTTAGCCAGAATATACTCTTTAGAAAAATTTTAAGTAGTTTCCAACTTTAGTTACAGTTAGTTTTTCTTTTATCAAAAACCATATATTTCAGTTTTAGAGACAATCGTTTTTGAGCTGTCTAAAAATTAGATGTATTTAGTCACACTGAAGAGCTCCAAAAGGCAATTACAGGAATAACATTGGAATAAGGTATTCTGAAATTTTGTAACTCTAATTTAAATCCATAATTTACCACAGGATCTTTACCAAAACGAAAAATTATACAAATATATACCATTTGCTTTGATGTGAAAATACAAAACGGGGGCAACTATTCAACAGAAACAGGCTAAAAAAATACTTAGTGCCTCAAATTACACCCACTCTTAGCTTGGCCAAACATAGATACAACATTTAATAGAAATCGCTGTAAAATATCGCCTAGAGTATCTCACAGATACACATGCGAGCTCACTGCGGACAAGTGGCTGGCAGGCATTTTCCGAGTTAGTCATGATTTGATGAATGCATCCCACAGATACGAGTACTTGTACACTTTAACATAAATCATATGTGGACTTGAATGAGCGTGGAGAAGTCGTTTCATGGAAAGTATCTTATAGAAACATGCATTTAAGTTTTGTCTTGATGAAAAGTATCTAATAGATGGTGTGTTGCCGAAACTTATATTTAATTTCTTTGTTTTATTGCTCGTTGTGATCGGTCCATCTTATTAGGTTTTAATTTTTGCTGTGATAGTTAGCTTAAAGACCATAAGTGTCCAAAAATCTCTTATAATTTCCCATATTTTGTCTATAAGATACTACTTTTAAAAGTCCCATTTAATTTGCACAGCATTTTGCTTTTCCAATTGTCGTGTATATCGGGCAAATCAACCACTTACACGGCATTAGCATTGACAATAAACAGCCATAAACAAACAATGACAACAGACGCCGCGGATGCGGATGTGGATGTGGATGTGAATGTGGAATTGGGAGTGGAATTGGGATTGGGATTTGGATTCGCATCCGAGGAATTCACAGTAGCGCACACCTTTTGTCAGCCGCTCAGCTGGATTCCCTTTTGTTAGAAGCGATGATTGCGACTCACCAGGAGTATCTAATGCCCGGGCTGGCAAATCGATTGGATGCGGCTTGTTCAGCCCCGATTTTTCTGTGTGCCAACGGATTTCACGCTATGGGCCGCAGATACATAGCTGCAGATACAGATACTACAGATACAGATACAGATACGGCTCAGGTAGGCGCCGTTTTTCGGTTTCAAATCAATTATTCAGGCTCACTTGAGGTGTGAAGCTAACGATGGTATGATTCTGGTCCTACTTTTCGGTTTTAGTTTTTACTTTTTCTGCTTTTTTTTTTTGGTTTTGCCAAACTCTAGAGATCGTATTTCCACGCTGACTTCTCGACTCGTAGCGCCCATTGTTTCGCTTATCGCACGGCGGAAGCAAACACTTAAAGGCTAAAACGCATCAGCATTTCATAATGATCTTCTGGCCCCGATCCAAAATTCGCTCATCAATCTCGACCGGCCTTTGATCTCGTCCGAAAACTAAGACAGATTTCCGCTAATGATGGTTTCGCTGGCTCCTCCGGGCTTTTGCTCTCGATTTCAATTCGGATTTCAATTAGCAGATTATGTAAACCTATGCTGTTGCCACATTACGAGTATATTAGGTCGTATATTAGGTTGAAACCCGTAATTCGGAAATATCGCGGTCAGCGGCTAGATCAGTTGCTTAAATATTTCGTTAATTTCCCATCTGTATTGGCCTTATATATTATGAGTCACTAGACACATTTATAAAAGAAATACAAGTCTGGCATCAGTTGCTTAAAAGAAAGAAACAATTTAAGTTGGAAGTACATTTAAAAGAAATTAAAATGAAAAATGAAACAAAAAGTATATAATTTAAAAAGAGTAACAGGTAGTTAATATTCTCTCAAAGAATTGTACTTAATTTCTAAAGGAATTAATACTTAAACTTATTTGCACGAGTATTATTAGTATTTAGTCCAATTTTTGCAATTGACTAAATGGTAAAATGCTTTACAAAACCCAAACGTTTATATATTTATAATATAGATTCAGCAACTAGGCAATATTCCTTGAACCATTTTAAATCCATTACCCATATACATATATTTAAGTTCTTAACTAGCTGTTATTAGGTGGCAGATTGGACTGAGGGTATTTTCGATTTTCCCCCGACGGATTTGCATGGATGGCTGGGAAATTGCATGACACTTTTAATAGAGTCAGCAACGCCAAATGGGCGCAATGTGATTGAGGCAATGGCAATCTAGTGCCCCTGGCCACCGGCTCCTCCCTTCGCTTTCCTCTTTTTTTTTTTCCTTATTTTTCCAACCAAAGTGCAGACGCCACGCAACTGCGTGTGCCCATAAAAAATGTATTTTCCAACCGCAGAACGAAACGAGCTGGCTCCTCCAAACTGGCCCCTGGTCTCCACGCTCCAAGTTCCACACTCTCCAGTCTTTAGTCTTTGGTCTCGGTCTCGTTCTTCTCCGGATCTGCATATATTGATGGAGGAGAGGAACGAGAAACGTTTATTAAAATTAATACCACATCAATCATTTAACAAACGCGCCTGTCGGCCAAGTTCAAAGCGATGGCTTCGACTAGACCAAAAAAAGACTTGGAGCCACCAACTCGACCAACTCTTTTGGCTTTGCCTGCTTAAGAAAGTTACACATGCGCATTGGTTTTAATTAAAAGCGTTTAAAGACATCACAGAAAATAAAAAAAAAAAATTAACAAAAAAAGAAAAAAAAAAAAGAACAGCAGGCGCAGAAGAAAGATGATAAATTACCGAGACAAACTGAAATTAACATTTGTGCCTGGAAACAAAGAGACAGCCGTGTGGCTAGCAGATCACAGAAAAGCTCCACGAAGGGATTATATTGAAAGCCGCTGTTAAATTATTGAAAATCATGCAACGATCCGCGCCGTTTTCCCATGAACAGCAGCCTCATTTGTTCAGTGTGCGCTCTGCGTCGGCATAATCAGCATAACAAAAGGAATTAAGCAATAAAATATTAATGAAAATACACTGGGGAAGATCGCCGCGTCATTGACTAATTTGTTTGTGGTTCTCCGGCTTCTTTCTCCACTCGGTAAGAAGGCGCCAGAGATCTGGACGGCAGGGAGTGGCCAGCGGTAGCCGTGACAGGCGCCCCATAGATCGTACACCCGGAGAAATTCGGCCTTCGAAAGGATAATGTCAACTTTTATGAGTGGCTCCCTTGAAGAAGCTTTGACTGGTTTCAATTAAAAACGTTGGGTAGAAGGTTTTATAAGCAACTTAACTACCCATCGAAATTTATCAGGAATTTATATTTTTTAAAATAGGAAACATATGTTCTTTGCACTTTATAAAAATTTCCTTTTAAAAAAACTGCCTCACAATATCTAAATTTCATTTAAGGACATTGGAGGAAAAGTTTACATGCTTCTTAGGGTTATGGCTTACATTTTTTAAAAGAAACCCATTTAATTGTTGAATTTTTATACAAATATTTTGGTTAATAGAACTTCTTTCAATTACAATCTTAAGTCTAAGCCCATAATATTATTTATTGTGATGTTTTTGGCTTCAGAATACAATACATTTTTCCCCAGTGTTCTTACCTCCTTTGGCTGCTCGACATATTTACTTAATATGATTTGGCTTAATGAGTGCGCTTGGCTTTGTGTCTGCCCCTTTGCTACCCTGTAGCCATTCTTTTTCCCCTCTTTTCTAGTCTGGGCATTTTTCACCTTTGACAAAGGCTGAGTCCGACGCAATTAACTTGCGTCATTTGGAAAATTAGTTGGCATGATGCTGCAAAAACGTAGGGAGTCCAGCAAGGAACAATGAGGGAGGGGGGAGGCGTCGAGCGGCACAAGGTCGCTGCTGCTTCAAAAGCGCCGCATTTTTCAATTTGGTTTTTCCTTTTTAGCATTTTTTTTTTCTTTTTGGTTTTCAATTACAAAGACCACGCACCAAAAATTCATGTGCGTGTATATGACTTTCTGACTTGCAGTTTCCACTTGGCCGTAAAGGAAAAACTACGGTGAGAACACGCTGCGTATACGCAACGCTTCAAGCCACAGAAATTTGCATGCCAAAATGAGAAAAACTGGATCAGACCCTGACCAGAATTCGATCAGAAATTGCTTGACAAATAATATTCAATAACATCAATATTCAGCAAGTGATTTTATTTAATGTAT